GATATTAGGACCTGGCCGATTTTGCCGACTAGCAAATGGGGCCTCTCCCGTCATCGTCATCGTCTCCAGACGGATTTGAGTCCCACTCACTGATTGCGCAGAACCGGAGGTCTACCTTCTGCCAGCCCTTCCCCCAGGAAGCTCGAAGAACATTCACGATTTATGCTGTGGATACTGCAGCCGGCTGAACCATCAGTGTTTATAGTCGAAACAATATCTACGTCAAAATCGGTAAGTGAGAGTGCAGATAGAGCACGGCGAGTTTGTGGGTGTGGTCGCAACAAGTGTGAAATGACTGTCAATGCCACGGCATGTAGCAGTCCGCTCCTGTGGTCGCAAGTGTGAAATGACTGTCGATGCGATGGTCACCAGTGCGGCCGCTCTTCCTTGCCGCCTCCTAGCACCTCTTCTCAATCGACTGCTTTCGCTCTGCCTGATTTGGCGCCGGTGTGGCCACAACTTGACACCAATCGACGTTGAACCCTACGTTGATTGGCTGCAGGCGGACGAAGACCAGGCCCATGCACTCCCCGGCTAACAATCTAACACTTGGCTGGTGAAAACTATCGCTGCTCCATGCCTGCTGAGTTACGCGCACTCTATCTGCTGCGGTAAAAAAAGAGCTTGCCTACCTAACTGTGTCATCCAGACTTTTGATTTGGGAAATCACTCCCCTTGTCGGCCAATCACACCTTAGCAGACGTATCTGCTAGGGTTTCTAAAAATACGACTTTGTGAGTACCGGTAAGCCGACTTCTTGCAGCCTTTTTATCGTCCCGTGGAGAATCCGTGCAGCCTTGAATGATGAACTCCCTTCAAGACTCCAGGAAAGGTCGCCAGGGGTTTATTCAAGAACAGTGACTCGTGTTGTTCGAACACGCCTTACGAAGATAACTCCGAAGGCTATCACGGCCACCATGTGGAAACCACAATAGCACGGTCAGTTGAGAAGATGTCAATGTAACCAGTTATCGGTCAATATCCCAATAGCTTTGGTGCACACTGTAGGTCAGTAGGACTGCAATTGTCACGAATAAAGGTCAGCAACACTTAATGCCTGAAGACATTAGCTCATTTGTGCCAAGTTTTGACCTGCAATATGCTAATGTCAATGAGCGGACTGGGACCGTGATGATCGGTCCAGGCCCCCAAAAAGTTTGTGAAAATTAATACGTGACAAATTCCACACCTTTATTTGAATTCACGCCGTCAACTGGATGCTATAGCCACCAGTTTCATCCTGCCCGCGTTGTGACCTAATAAAGCCTGAATTCTGCATGTCCCGTGAAAGATGCCACAAAGAGGAGAATTTAGGTCTCAATGGATTACGTGTAAAAAGTACGTAATGAGGACTATCCACTTTCGAGGCACAAATAAGGGCGTGCAAACTGACCAAGACATGCTATCACTGGCCACAGACAACGAGTAGCGTGATGGGTGGATAAGCATATAAGAGGGTTATGGGTGTCCGGAACGCATAGACTTACCCAACAAACAAGAAACTGACGAGTGAAGGGGATAGAGGAGTAAATACGTTCACAAAAGAGTGGTATGAAGAGATTGAGGTCAATTGTGTTGCTTTGAATAACAATATCCCTGAGAAGGCGATCACAGTGCGCAGCTACTTGTCTGACTGATGCATCTGGATCAGCTGTCGCCTAAATACATAAATCGGAGGCAAATGTGTGAGATCAAATTTTGTCTAGTACTTAACAAGACAAGTTACTCGCCGTCAGTAAGAATATGGTAAAATAAGCAAGCACGCAGGCTGGAAACCAGTCAATGGATGACAGACAGGCAATACATAATTTGACGGAATAGCACTAGAGACATACAAACAGGGGGGGGTTAAAAAATGCCACAAAATAACAATTGCCATTATTTCGACATAATTTCAGTCCGAGAGGTAAACGTTCTTAGTTCATTATGAACTCGTAGTCGGAATTTGAAAGCGATGCAGTTCATATTTAAAGTTTAGCCAGTTATAAGGCATGAAAGTGTAAAGCCCGAAGTCACAGAAAAAAGTGCAGAGGGACCTTAGCCTATAAGACAGAGGTTTTCAAGAGACTGCCCACTGTCAACTAGTAACAGGAGAATTTATGAAGCCAATTCTTCCGGGCTGAGTGTGCCGAGGCGACTCCTATGTAGAAGAGTTGTTCAACCATTCCAAGAGACAGTGAACAGAAGTGAAAGTTGCTGGACACCAAGTTTCCCAACGTACCTCATAAAAATTAAGACCGACTAGATCAAGCATGCTCAAAGTGTTTTCAAGTAGAGCTAATTTACCAAAACGGCTATTGCAATTCAGCACAACAATAGGACTTATTAAATGATAACCAAACATCCTTCTAAGTTCACACTATAACGCAAACACAGCTCAAAAAACAATTAAGGGAGAAAATCGTTTTCTCTAAAGTAAGATGATATCTGCGCAGAGAGCGAAACAAAAGTTTGTGTTAGTTTCAATTTTGAGTTTCTCCCTCTTATGTCATCTTTACTTTTTCTAAGTCATTCTTCGTATTGACTGTATCCGACTAATTATTTTTTGTTAAGAATAGTCGATTTGCGCGAAATGACAAGGGCTGCTTCTTCACGTCCCACGTGATTTACGTTTGTCACGACAATGTTGACATCCTCTTCAGGTGCAATATTTAGCATCCGAATATGTGTGCTAACCTAGGCCCTGGTGCGTGGAAATTCATCGAAAAACCCAAAAATGTACAGCGTCGGAAGATTTTTAAAACCTGTCTGAACGATTCGTTAGAAGAGTTTGCTTATTTAGGGAAACAGATAGGGGAATTTTCTAGTATCTTCAAGTAAATTTGACTCCAAAACATAAAAAGCGAGGTTATGATTGGGTTTAAAAGAAACCTCCCAGTCGGAGAAACTACTCTTTGGATGTTCATACTGCAAATGGAGTTCATTCCACCGCGGTCTCACAAATTGAGAAAGGCTCATCACCGACTGCACAAACGTGTACGAAGCAAAAACTGGACAGTAACGGCAGTCAAGATTCAATTTTGACAAAGCAGCCCACGGTCAAAATGGTGACTAGTCTATGCACACAATGAGTTTATCCCAAAACTAACAGGATCACGGGTTGATAATGCTCCATTGGCATCAGGTTCTTAAACCAGGTAGAGAAACATGAAGAAACTTCGGGAATTTCGACATGGAAATAACTACAGGTCACCAAGAAGTTCAATGAGGAGTTGTCTTCCAGAATTTACTGTATTCTCTCAAGTTAGTCAGAGGTCAGTGGAGAATCTCTTCATGATTGAGAAGCGTTGGAGCCTTAAGACAAGGAGGAACCGGTTCTGGCTTACTAACCATCACTAGGCCTTGAGGTCTCAACAGTGGATAACAACCATGCCCACTCCGAGACCGCGCTAACCCGCTTTACGCAGATTGACCCGGGCTCAGTCGGCAAAAAACCAAACACTGGATGGCTTTTCAAAGCCTTGTTACACGTTCGATGTTGGCTAAATGTGAAACACCCTTCAAAATAATCGTTTATCCGTAGGTCAGAGTCAGAAAAGACGGTATAAGTCACACGAGATCCACCCAGTTTTGTGCATAAGAAAGTTGGAAGCCTAGGAAAAAGGGTAAAACGTGCTGACATTCTTAGATTATGAGAAGTCAAATATAGTGTATATTACGAAAACGTGAAGAAACACAGGCGTGTCTGAAGCAGAATTAGCTGTTGGAAATTTTTCAGGAAAGATCATAC